TATGTGCGATTTTTAATTAAGCCATCTTTATTAATTTTTGAAATATCTTGTTAAATGTTGAGAACAAATATGGCTATTTTCGCCTTAAAATATAAAAGTTTCCATAACAAAATATGTTGATTTTAGCCACAAAATTAATTTTCCTTGTATCTTTAACTTGCATGTACCTATTAAAAAGCATTGTTTCCAGCAGATGTTGAAAAAAAAAAAAAAAACGACTCAAAATAACTGCTTTTATTACCACTTTTGCGGTGTGGGGAAGGCGGGGGGGGGGGGGGGGGGTGGTCTAAACCCGAGGATTTACGGCCGCCTGGCAAGTGCTGTCGTCACGACTATGCAGTGAGAATTTTATTTTGCCCTGACAGAAAATCATCCACAGCCTTATCGAGAAATCGAACTCGGGTCTCCCACTTAAGAGCTCAGTGTTCAAACCGTTCGGCCAGCCGTTCCTCCCAGCAGATATGATCAGATTCAGTTTGGGAGTTTAACCTGTCTTTAGCGTATCGCTAACCCGGTTTGGTGACGTCAGCAGCTCTTGCTGCAGACACACCACCCTTTGCACAAACTGATAGATGGAGTTAAAGGTCAGCGGCTGATAAGAGGGAAGCCATGAATTATTCAGGCAAAGGACACGATCAGACAGGTTTGCATCCTGGAGAACATTAGGGTAGGAGAGCAGTGTGTCAGAGTGCAAGTAGAACAGTCAGCCGTAGTTTAGAGTCATAATTACGTGGGCTGGGAGTGACTAGCAGGTGCCATGGAGGCAGACATTCACCAATTGATTCAGGATATTGCTCGTTGGGTGATGCGATTATTCATACAAATAGTTCAGTGTCAAAAGGCAACAGAAGTCACTCGGGGTTCATACAGAAATACACCTTTGGCTATAAAGTTAAAGTTTCCGATGAATGTCTGCTAGTGTCTCTCTGCCAAATGCCAAAGCCTGCCTGATGAACCAAACGTAAGCTTGTCACTCTTGTCTTGAAGGTAGTTGGCTAATTTGCTAGCGCAGCAACAACATAACACCAAATCTCACAATACCTGTTGCAAAGTCACCATATCGCTGTGTCCCTGTCCAAGAGTGCGATAAAGTGCAGCAGGGGAAGGTGATGGCATTTAGTCATGACCCACGTCGGCCCACCTTCCGAGATTGTAAAAGAAGTAATAGGCCGAAAAAAATCGTCGACGAGGGATCTTTCTACTGACGAACGATGGATCCCTGCTCTGCATGCTCCCCTGTGGAGTTCTTCTTACTTATTAGTTGCTATGACGCATTAATCCTTTTCAGCATTATTAGGCACAGGTAACAGCTGGTTACTATTATCCGTCTCTAGCGGATCGACCCGTTCGGACTTTTGGCTATTTTGCTGTTTGGCTTGAAGATCGACCGAGTGGTCTCCAGTGGGATAAAAATCAGCTCAATTTAGCTTAGGATTAACGCAATGCTTCACACGTGTGGTGATATTCATGGTAACTTTGGGGGGGGGGGGGGGGGGGGGGGGGGGAGAGAGAGAGTTAAATTACTTTTGTAATATTTTCCATAGCCTCTCAAGTGACAGAGAGCGCAGGGAAGTCTACGAAACTGAAGGGCTAGAGTATGATTTCAATTTCCAACAGCTTATCTTGCTTCGGCATTGTATACTTTGCACAACCTTTAGAGTAGCCGGCCACATACACACACACACGCGCGCGCGCGCGCACACACACACATAAATACATATGAAGACACACCGATCATTCACAGAACCCCCCCCTCTCCCCGTCCTTCTCGGCCTCGTAAGATGTCTTTAAACATGGTACCAGACAGGGCATCACAGAGAGCCGTGTTACACAGATATATCAGTAACAGACCAGAGGTCCACAACGCAGAACATTAACCGGAGCAAAAACAGCGACACTGAAAAGTACTTTATATGAAGCGAAGAGAAGAGAAGGGCTCGTTACAGAGATCTATGCATGCCCCGACGTCGCGAGGCATTCTAGGATTAGAGGTCAGAAGAACTGTTCACGCAGTACATATACTAAAATTGGAACGATACAGAGAAGATTAGCACGGTAGCTGTTCAAGGATTTCACGCAAATTCGTGCAGCGTTCCATATTTTTTGGGGTCGATGGTCACGGAGACTCAAGGCTGTAGTGGCTAAGACTCTCGGGCAGTGGAGCACACCAGCTGTTCCCCCTTGTGAGTCTCTGGGCTGGGAGTTGCTAGAAGGTGCCACGGAGGCAGATATTCAGCAGTTAATTCAGGATATATATTGCTCGTTGGGTGACGTGATTATTTATACTGCTACTTAAGTGTCAAGAGGCAATAGAAGACACTTGGGATTTATTCAAATATACACCTTTGGCTATAAAGCTAAAGTTTCCTAAGGTCGAAAATGAGATAAAATCTGCTCAGAACGCATCAGAAGTGCGAGAAGTCATGGGTTACACACACACACTGACAAACGCGGCCTAAGGTAAGGAAAAGTCACTTGGTGGTATAAAGCCTCAGCCAAAGAACGCAGAGACATGGTAACACTGTTGATCAGGGACTCTGAAAACAAGATTCGGGTCCAAAAAGAGGCCCAGCAGACGCAGCAAGGCCACTGGATCGGGCTCGAGAGCGCCTTGCCACGAATACTCACATGAGGGGCCAATGGCCCAGGTGAGCTTTGTCGTAAGGTCTGCCTACGATACGTTAACGTCTGGCGCCCACATGGCCAAAATGTTTGCGACCACCGACCCTATGTATGTGCTCGAGCACATATTTTACGCCGCCAGGAAAGCCTTAGGCCAGGGACGATATACAAGGCGCCTTTATTAAGTCATGAAAGAGCCAGCGGACATTGTGGACCAAGTCAAGATGACGACCAAAGCGAGGGCCAGTCCAACTCCCCCCCCCCCTCCCCCACCCCATGCGTTTTCTCAAGGCTAGGCAGATCTCTAAAGGTAAATTCAACAAATTCGCATATGCTCCATCGATACTTGACTGAACGAGGGACTGGTCACTGTCGATCGACCTGTCTGGTTTTGATAAATACCCCGAATAAATCCGAAAGTAGCCTTGAGACCAGACATAGTTCGGCAGTTTGCGGCAAAAAAGCTAGCTTATCCTGATAGAGCTTAGCGTGCCGAACGAGTCGCTGATAGAGGAAAACCACTTGCATAAGCTCGAAAAGTACAGTGAAATTGTGGCCAGTCTGAGGAGCGACAAGGCGTATAAAGTAAAACTCTTCGCCGTCGAGATGAGCGCAAGAAAGCTTATTTGCACGTCTACATACAATGTACTAAAACACCTGGTCTTGAGAGGCAAAGAGTGCAAACCATCACTAATACAACTGGACAAGTCTGTTGACGGAAAAAAAAAATACGTCGTGGTGGATAGACCTCGGTAGACTGATCCGAACCCCTAGTGGAAAATAACTGTTCATCCCTAAAATAGCAAAAGTGTCCGATTAAAGCCTGCTAGTGTCTCTCTGCCAATTGCCAAAGTCTAACATCTGTCCAAAGAACCAACAGTAAAGGTTGGACGAGAAGGTAGTCAGCTAATTTGCTATCGTAGTGAAAATATATAGCACTAAACCTCACAATACCTGTTGCGAAGAAACCTTTTCGTTTAGTCCGTATGTTTGATAACTAGCAGCAGAAGATGTACGAGACCTGGCGTCATGACCCAGATCGGCCCACTCTCTAAGATGGTCTAGGGGGATAACTGGCCAGAACAATTGTCGATGAGGGACACTTTTACTGATGATCGGTAAACTCCTGCCGTGCACGTTCCCCTGTTGAGATCTTCTTTCTTATCTGCACACACGTGTAATCATGCTTCGTACAGGCCACATATACTGTAAAATATATTGTTATTGACTTGGCTGCATGAATTCTCTGCTGTGCATTAACTTGCTTATGCGCCTATTAGACGCACAAGCCCTTTGTCAGGTGGGTAACATCTGCAGCACTGAACCTCAAGGGCTCGGAATGGTGAAGAAGAAGAAGATGAAGAAGAAGATGAAGAAGAAGAAGATGAAGAAGAAGATGGAAGAAGAAGAAGAATAAGAAGAAGAAGAAAGAAGAAAAGAAGAAGAAAGAAAGAAGAAGAAGAAGAAGAAGAAGAAGAAGAAGTAAGAAGAAGAAGAGAAGAAGAAGAAGAAGATGAAGAAGAAGAAGAAGATGAAGAAGAAGAAGATGAAGAAGAAGAAGAGAAGAAGAAGAAGAAGGAAGAAGAAGAAGAAGAAGAAGAAAGAAGAAGAAGAAGAAGAAGAAGAAGAAGAAGAAGAAGAGAAGAGAAGATGAAGAAGACAGAAATGAAGAAGAGAGATTGAAGAAGAAGAAGAAGAAGAAGAAGAAGAAGAAGAAGAAGAAGAAGAAGAGAAGAAGAAGAAGAAGAAGAAGAAGAAAGAAGAAGAAGAAGAAGAAGAAGAAGAAGAAGAAGAAGAAGGAAAAGAAGAAGAAGATGATGAAGAAGAAGAAGATGAAGAAGAGAAGATGAAGAAGAAGAAGAAGAAGAAGAAGAAGAAGAAGAAGAAGAAGAAGAAGAAGAAGAAGAAGAAGAAGAAGAAGAAGAAGAAGAAGAAGAAGAGGAAGAAGAAGGAAGAGAGAAGAGAAGAAGAAGATGAAGAAAGAAGAAGAAAGAAGAAGAGAGAAGAAGAAGAAGAAGAAGAAGAAGAAGAAGAAGAAGAAGAAGAAGAAGAAGAAGAAGAAGAAGAAGAAGAAGAAGAAGAAGAAGAAGAAGAAGATGAAGAAGAAGAAGAAGAAGAGGAAGAAGAAGATGAAGAAGAAAAAGAAAAAGAGGAAAAAGAAAGTAATAGAAGATGGATGAAGAGAAGGCTGAGGGTAAGAAAAAGACGGAGGGAGAGGAGGAGGAACACAAGAATAAGAACAAAAAGAACAAAAAAGAAAGAAAGAAAGAATAAGAATATTTATCTAAATATTCCTAGCTCACAGAGAAGCATAAAAGAGACAACATATTTTCATATTTTGAAGCACATACAGTTACTTTTCAGATTGTGTGACCGCGATGTGGGAGACATTGCGAAAGAGAAACCTTAATCTGTTTCTTCTTCTGTTGATTGCTTCGCTTATTTTCGTAGTCGTTGTACAACAGTAAGTACTGTTTTATATTAAATACAGTAATGTTAAACTAGATACTATATGTATGTATGTACGTACGTATGTAATGTCTGTCTGTCTGTCTGTCTGTCTGTCTGTCTGTCTGTCTGTCTGTCTGTCTGTCTGTCTGTCTGTCTGTCTGTCTGTCTGTCTGTCTGTCTGTCTGTCTGTCTGTCTGTCTGTCTGTCTGTCTGTCTGTCTGTCTGTCTGTCTGTCTGTCTGTCTGTCTGTCTGTCTGTCTGTCTGTCTGTCTGTCTGTCTGTCTGTCTGTCTGTCTGTCTGTCTGTCTGTCTGTCTGTCTGTCTGTCTGTCTGTCTGTCTGTCTGTCTGCCTGTCTGTCTACATGCATACATACACACATATACTTTTCAGATCTAGCCTCATTAGAAAGATGGCAGTTCTCTATGGTAGCCTAATAAACGACAAAAGTGACAACATCTTGAAGCAAAAGGTAATGAATATTTTGTATCTCATTGTCTCGGCTAGCAGTTATAGATGCATTAAAAATACTAGTTTCTGTCGTTACACTATGTTGTAATGAGCGGAGGAAAATATACCAGTGGGTCTGTTTTTAGTATTAATAATCTGTTTAATTAGTAGATAAACTAGCTAAAGAAACAACATAGTTTTATGGAAACAGATGCTCTGGTTTTATCAAAAGTCACAATGGCGTAGAAGGAGCCATGATTGGGAACATAGAAAGAAGTATAAAGATAGAAGGACACACTAGGCAACATACAAATCAAAAGCTATAGTTGCTGCGAAATAAATATTAAACAAACAATGTATTGACTGGATCGATTCCCGTCAAGGTAACTACAGCTTTCGATTTTTTGTGTTGTCTAGTGTGTCCTGGCATGTGTTATGCAAAAACTAAAATTCGATAGCTCAGAGCACTAGTACATCTACAAGTGGCTGTGAAACGTGAATCTTAACAGCTGAACTTGAAAGAAAGATACGCCCGGCTCTCTAGCGTAGTTGGCTAAGCCTGTCTTCGCGGTGACCGGGTGACGAACTCCCTGTGGTCCGGGTTCACTCCCGGGGGTAGACAGAAAAGCCACATGTCTCCCAGATTTACGGTACCTATCATGGAATCAAGGCCGAAGGGTTGTGATATCCATAGTACCGAGCCAAAAGGTTAGCAACTCATGGTTTATGAATTTAAAAATAAAAGCGAAAATGCAATGGTTTGGACATGTAATCAGATCCCACAGTCTCTCAAAAACAGCACTGCAGGGATCAGCAGAGGGAAAGAGGAGAAGAGGCAGAACAAGAACGACCTGGTTACAGATCATGACTTTTAAGAGAGGCCTCAGGCATGCAACTTAGAAGTCCATCGCAACTGACCGCCAAAGGTGGAGAGAGCTGATCAGACAGTCAATAGAAACTAATGACCCAATGACACGTAGTGTTACGGAATAATGACTGAGTGTGTCCTTCTAGATTTCTACTTCTTACTATGAGGGCCAATCAACCTCTCTCCTTTTTTTTAATCTGCTAGACACAGTCTGATGTTTGTATTTGTTATTCGACCTATGTTTGGTTAATACAATTTTCGGTAACCTTTGGTGCTTTTTCAGTTGTCTTAAGTGAATTCTTCCCGTATTCTGTAGTTTAGATTCAATCTGTATGATATACCCGGTATGGGATGACACCTTTATTTAGGGGTGTTAGTACACATGTTTCTGCAGCGAGACGCTTTCGTCACGTGGAGGTGACAAGCTCAAATCCCTGTTCGGTAACTACAGCTTTCGAATTTTATGTTGTCTAGTGTGTCCTCTGATCTCTCTACTTCGTTCTATGAGTGCTGATCATTTCTTATATATTTATTACATCATCTGCAGCTCGTCGGCATCTGTGGCTTAGGTATTGTGACGGTGGTTCGTAATTCCGAAGTAATCGAATGTATTCCAGATGCGGGCAATTTGTCAGCAGACTGAAATGCGTTTATTTTGACAGTGTTATCATTCAGGAAGCAAAACGGCAAATAACAGAACACATATTTGCTTAGCACAACCAAACAGACAAAAGCATGCTGGGATTGGTTCTGCAAAATCACCTGCTAAATTCCTAATACATGGTACTGCCTCAAAGGCCATTTATCATTCACAGACCGACGTCTATTGATTTATGCCGTAGCGGTCAGACTAAGAAGGGAGAATAACACCCCGTGTAAACAAAATAATCAAACGGTAAAAAGAAGAATCTCCACTGGGGAGCATGTGCAGCAGGAGTCTACCAATCGTCAGTAGAAGTAATCTCTCGTCAACAAATGTATCGGCCCAAGAGCTCCTAGACATTTTCAGAGAGTGGGCCCACCTGAGTTTATGAGGCTCAGAGTTGATTTTCTTCAGCTGCACGTATTACCGGATGTTATCGGACAGGGACAATACGAATTGGTGACTTTGTAAAAGCAACTGTGAGATACTAAGTCGTTGCGGTAGCATAATTAGAGCAGTCAGCTTACCTGGACGACCAAGTGGCAAGATCACGTTTGGTTTATCGGACACATGTTAGACTTTGTTAGCAGGTGGCAGAGGGGCACTGGCAGACAATTCTGACACGATGGACTTTAAGGGATAAGAAATTATTTTCCACTAGATACCCGGACCAGCTCACCGAGGCCCATCTCCACGACGTTCCGTTGTGTCCAGGCCCCTGATGAGAAATAGTGTTTCTGTAACGACAACTTTTTAGGGCTGTGTGAGACAGTTGAAGGGTGGTGCTGAGGGACGTGGTTTTGAGGCTAAGGATTTAGAGCCTCATGACCAGCGTAGTCGCCACAAAGGCACAGATGATAATGTTATGTTTTAACCCGACAGAAAAGAGTGTCACCTAACCGAGGATTTGAAAGTTTTTAAACGCTCTGCGAACCGCTCCTCCAAGTAAAGTGTTACAGTGTTTTATATGATTTGTGGGTATTTTTTTTTATTTACCCTATCAAGAGGACTGAGATTTCGTGTGTGGGTGGGGGTGGGGGGGGGGGGGTGCCTTAGTGTAAGTCGGCGTTAATTTCACACCCTAACACCACTTTACTATTGGAATTTCATGGGAACTGCTTACGAACGCTGACCACATCACCCATCTTGTGCCGATTGGTCTATAAAAATATAGGTCTAGTCCTATATGCCCTATACGCCTAAACGCGTGGAAAACGGTCTTTTACTTTTACTTTTTACATTATATATTGAGTAAACAGTGTAGAATTCAGCTAATGAGATGCGTCGAAATATGCCATTCAACGAACTGTGCAATATATTCTTTGTATCTTCATTATTTGTAGTATTTTTAAAGGCACGCAATTCAAAAATATTTTTAAAAAAAATGTCAGACAAAAAATAAAAGATTGCGGGACATCAGGAGACTTTTTTGGCAGTAGTGAAACTTCACAAGCTAGCTTGGTTTGGGCACGTAGTGAGACATGATCCGATTGCAAAGAGTGCATTTCAAGGAAATTGTGGTAGGCGGGGGAGGGGGTAGTCGCAGAAGAGGAGGGCAAAGAAGAAAATGAATGACACCAAGAAATGGACAGGACTAAGTTATCATACACTTATTTATCAAGCGGAGGACAGAGAGAGATGGCGGGTTTTATGTGCTAGTGCTTACATCAATACACCCACACCATCCTAATGGGTCAAGGGTTATGTTATGTTAATTCAAAATAGATGAGGCCCTAGTACACATTTTAAAAATAGAATCTTACGACAGATCTTTGGACCCATCAAAGATGCAAACAACGGAGAACGGAGGGTGGAAAGCAACACGGAAATTAATAATCAGTTTAAATCACTATTGATCACTAGCAGTATGAGAGCTAATAGACTGAAATAGCTGGGACATATTGAAAGAATGCCAGAAGACAGATAGGTAAAAACTGTATACAATGGAGTTATGTGGTCGTAGACCACGATGCAGAAGAAGAAAACGTTAGATAATATCCAGACAGATCAACAAACAGTTAGTATCACTAGCTCGAGACAGGAGGCCAGCCAGAGAAATAGTGACAGATGATATCTGCAGCAGTGAACCTCAAGAGCTCGGAATACTGAAGAAGAAGAAGAAGAAGAAGAAGAAGAAGAAGAAGAAGAAGAAGAAGAAGAAGAAGAAGAAGAAGAAGAAGAAGAAGAAGAAGAAGAAGAAGAAGAAGAAGAAGAAGAAGAAGAAGAAGAAGAAGAAGAAGAAGAAGAAGAAGAAGAAGAAGAAAAGAAGAAGAAAAAGAAGAAGAAGAAGAAGAAAAAGAATATATTATAGGCGATTTATTTGCCAAAGGGCATGCAATATAGTGTTATAGTTTTTTTCCTCTCTAATCCTTTTAGATTTTTCAGCGTCAGGTTGTGAAGAGCAACACGTGTGAGCTTTGGTATGTGCTACGTAGATGCTGCTTCTTAAAAAGCCTTAAAAAGCCCATATATCCATCGCCCACATGGTCGAACTCTAGGTCTGATTCCATTTTAAGTGACAGGGGCCTCTAGGGTAAACTAACTTGTGGAAGACATTTCCAAACCATTTGGTCTATTGTCTCATGATGTACTTTTTTCACATGATCCCACCCAGTGTTATAGCTCTTTGCCAATTACATTTTAAATGAAACGATAATTATCAACCAAAGGCATGTTATAGAGTCAGTATTTATTTTCCAAATGCATTTCAAACAATGCGATAGTTTTGCATGCATATATTACTACTTGTACCTAAGTATTATCAGTCGCCACCTTAGACCATATTTATGGCCTGGCTATATTGCATCCCCTGGCAAGAGCCGGATTAGGGCTTCAAAAAACGAATTTAAAAAAAAAAAAAAAAACACGTTTATTGGTTGAAAACATGATTTACAATATGTCATATACATTTACAAAAGCAAAAATAATAAAATGGTACAAAAAGGTAACATGGTACCCATATTCCACGAACATTTGGAAGAGAGTAGAACAAATCAGGAGACAGAAAATGACGAGGGGGAGGAGGGGCCATTCATAATAATATGTTGGTGGTGATGGTACCCGGTCATGATGGTGGGGATTATGATATTGTTACATCATATATACATTTATTTTTTACAGAATTTATAAAAACAAATTAAGGGTGGTGATAATAATGCATATTTAAACCAACCTCACATCTCACCAACATTTGACAAAGAATGAGAAAATGAGGAATAAAAGGACTGGGAAGGGCAGGAGGAAAGGTGGGGAACCAATAATTTTTGATGCTGGGGATCTGTGTGTGTGTGTGTGTGTGTGTGTGTGTGTGTGTGTTTTAATGTTTAAATTTAAATCGTTCCGGTTTCCGAGCTCCACTTTTTTCCAATTACATCATGTGATATAATGCTAATCATCATCATCATCATCATCGGGTGCCTTGCCGACTGGCGTGGGCGATCGTGCCTCTCCATAATCTGCGATCTCCTGCAGCATGTATCAGTTCGGGTGCCGACACACCTCCATGCCATGC